ACGAAATTCATGATTCAGACCATCGGAACAAGATTGAACAAGTACTTGTTCAATTCAAAGGGTTATTTGACACAAACAAACTGACAGTAGCAAAAACGGAAGTTTCACATGTTATTAATACGTGACCACATTCTCCGCCATGCTCAAGATGCTACCCAATGAGTAAACAACGTGAAGATGCGTTATATGAAATTTTAATGGATTTGATGAAAGACGGTTTAATTTCAAAGGCTAAAGCACCATACGCAGCACCAGCCTTATTAACACCAAAACCTGATGGGACGTGGAGATTTGTGGTTGATTATAAGAAATTAAATAATGTTACAATCGAAGATCAATTTCCCCTACCAAACATGGAACAAACAGTACAAAGATTGGGGGACGGATATAAAATTTTTACAAAATTAGATCTGAAGAGTGGTTTTTGGCAAATACCTATTAAAGAACAAGATCGTCCAAAAACGGCATTTATTACATCTTTTGGTCTATTTCAATTCAATGTACTACCACAGGTTCTTATGAATTCTCCACCCACATTTCAACGAGTAATGTCAACAGTATTACAAACATGTCGCTCATACTGTCAGGTGTATTTAGACGATATTGTCGTGTTTTCAAGATCAATTGAAGAGCATGTCCAGCATTTATATCAAGTATTGGAATGTTTACTACAAAACAATTTGAAATTAAATCCACCAAAATGTACAATCGCACAGCCAAAAATAGATTATTTGGGACATACAATTACAGAGACAACAGTTACACCCCTCAATGACAAAATTAATGCAATTTTAAGATTAAAAGAACCGAGAACACTGGAAGAAGCTAATCATTTTCTGGGTGCGATTGCATGGTATCGTAAATTTATACCAAAATTCGCGGAAATTGCAGCGCCGATTCATGCTGTTACCAACCTTACAAAGAAAAATCGTCACAAATTCAAATGGCAAGAGCAACAATCAAATTCATTTTATGAATTGCAGGAAAAATTAACAACCGCACCATTGTTATTACAATTTCCGAATGATAAATACCCATTGATTCTGAGCACCGATGCATCAAATAAAGGAATTGGTGGAGTACTCCGCCAGGAAATAGATGGAAAAGTATACAACATATACTACCATTCACAAGTGATAACAAAAACGGAGAGAAATTATGATACAATCGAAAAGGAAGCATTGGCAATATGGCGATGTTTTGAACGTATGAGAACGTATATCATCGGACGACCAATTATAATTTATACAGATCACTGCCCGCTATACCATATGATGGAAAAAAATGTTAAAAACAAAAGAGTAGATCGGATATCATTGTTATTACAAGAATATAACATACAACAAGTTATTCATATCAAAGGCCGCCATAACTGTTTGCCAGATTATTTGTCAAGAAACCCGATTCAAGAAGAAGATGAATTAATGAACACTGATTACAGATTGAAAATTAATGCCCGGACCAGTGCAGTGGTCGAGGTCACAACAAGATCAGCGGCAAAAGCTCAGAAAACACTAACAGTTCAACCAACAACAATAAATAATTCAAATTTAGATATCGATGATGAGAAAATAGCACCATTAATCGATCATTTTGACATTACACAATTAAGAACATCAGAATAAAGATCCAGTAATTCAATGCAAGATTAAAGAGATGGAATCAGAATCAAATAAACATCCGTACGTTCAGCAAGATGGAATTTTGTATAAATTGTTACATAGAACTCGGGACGGTGTAAAATCAAAATTAATTTATCTACCCAGGTCAATGGTGCAATCTGCACTCCATGCCTATCATGATCATCCAACGGCAGCACATTTCTCAGCTCAACGTACATATTTTAAAATGAAATTTAAATATTGGTGGCCTGACATGCAAAAAACAATTGAAGATTATGTGAATTCATGCATTATTTGCAAACAACATAATTACAGAAGACAGAAAGCACCCGGATATCTGCATCCAATTCCACCGCCATCTGGACCATTTCAAGTACTTGGGATGGATTTCTGTGGACCATTTGTCACCACATCCAATGGTAATAAATATGTTTTATGTTTAACCGATCATTTTACGCGATGGGTAACAGCCGTCGCCCTACCGGATTGTACAGCACAGACCACAGCGCAAGTGATTTTCAATGAATATATTTGCAAGTATGGTATTCCAACAACAATTTTATCAGATTGTGGATCGCACTTCCAGAACCAGCTAATGGTTGCTTTGACTCAACTTTTGGGATACAATCACATTTATTCAACCACGTATCATCCTCAAACGAACGGTATGGTAGAGAGATTCAACGCTACATTTGTCCCACAGTTGGCCAAACTTCAAGACGAAGAATCCAGTAATTGGGATTCTTATTTACCTTCTGTGGTATTCGCATACAATACAGGACAACATTTCACGACTGGCTATTCGCCGTTTCAATTACAATATGGTCAGATTCCAAAATTACCACCTGATGAACCATCACAGACGGTTATTTTCAGCAAACCGAATGATTACTACCAAGAATTAAAAAAAAATTTGAAAATTTATCATGAAAAGGCTAGAAGAAATATGTTACGTCAACAACAGCTTTCAAAGCAACGGTACGATCAAGGAAGAAAAGATGGGCATTACAACATCGGTCAATTGGTTCTAACCAAAACTCAAGGAATGCGCTCGAAATTACAAGAAAAATTCCGTCTAGAATTATTGGCGAAAAGCATCCAGTATATTGGGTGGAGAATGTAGAAACATTTGAAGTGGCAGGCGTGCATATACATGATTTGAGACTCGTGCTAGAACGTACAAATAATTAATAATTAGCATTTTTGACGTTTTTTTATCAATAACAAATTATACAGTATTGATACAAAAAAAACAACAACAACAAAAAACTATTAGATAACGATATCTCTATTACAATTTACAGAAAACTTGTGCTCCTTTATTATCGGGTGATCAAATGATAAATGGTTCTACTTCAGTTTGGAGATAACAAAAATGAATAGATAAATAAACAAACGTTTAAAATAAAATCTTATTCTTTTGAAAACTATCTTTACCAGTTCCGATAAGCAGTAGTGCTTTTTGTTAGAAAACTGTGCTGTCTTTCCTTCTCATGGTTCTCGTCTAATCTTTTTTAGATGTGTCTTATTAAGATCTCGCATTGGTATTATGAAAAAAACAAACAAGTATTAAATAATGACTTAAAGTTGCGTCATCCGCCATTCAAATATGGAAAAGTAATACCCACAAAAATAACCACAGGAACAGCAACATTATTTAAAGAACATGACCCGGAAGTACATTATATTAATAATCGAACAACGAAGAAATCGATCAAGTATTTGATCGATCTAATCACAACACTAAAAATAACGTCATATGTTATTGATACAGAAGGTGATCCATCACGAAACCCGCCACTTCCTGAAATTTTTAAATTAAATCATACATTTATGGCTTGGGGCGATGTTCGTAAAGAATTAAAAGCGTTTACAGAATTTAANATGTTGTCAATAGACGAAATATTCAAGCCGAATTTCGTCGTTATTATAATTACTCATCCACACCTTCCAGAATGTTTAAGAGTAGAAGATATTAGCAACGACGAAGATAAAATGACACTTAGTGCCCCAGTGAAGGACAATTTACAATCAGAATCAGCAACATTATATGATGATTATTTACATTGTACATGCCAATTTCGGCCTTATAAGGATCCAAATCAGCCTACAGCCTGGTCCTTACAAAAAGCAATAGCATCATTTGATTTATTTTTGGATAAATCGTTTACATGTGCAAATTGGTCTGGTGGTCTAGACAGAGAATTGGGCACGTGGGAATTTGATCAATCGGATTTACGTACAAAGCAAGAAAAATTAAGAGAAGAAATGGAAAAGTATGCCGTTAACGATGTTCTATCTGTATTGTTTATTCTCGAAAAACAACAAAAATATTATGAAGAAAAAAACAAGCCCAACATTAATACGATAGTGGAAAAAACAATGTCAACAACGTCCGAAAATACAGAACCAGTACTGGTTCTGACTCCTTACTCACCTGCAAATTTGCACACATCAAGTTCAGCCGCACTATCCACACTGATCCCAATATTAATACCATCTCAAACTAAATTTCAAAAATCTATATCAACATCAAATTCTGTCCCGAATCAAACAACTGAATCAACTTCTGACAAAACAACCACTCAAATATCCAAATCGTTATCCAATTCAACATTACCACCTGTAAAGTCTGTTGAGCAAGCATCATTAGCTGAAGAAGAAAGAAAATGGAGAAACAGATTGGCTGGTAAACGTCACCGGAAAAATGATTTCAAAATCCGTATCGATGTTCCAATCTATCACAGATTTGAAGTCCAACAAGTAAAAGAAATATTGAAATCGTTACATATTGAATTTCGTCGCGTAGTTATTTATCAGCATACTACTTTGTTAATTGGATTGAAACATGATGCAAACATTCCTTATACACGTCATAAATTAAGAAGAAACCCGTTTAATAGGGAAAAATATATTGAAATCAATGCTTAGACACTAATGGAAATTCGATAAGTGATAGAAAACTAGCAGTAGTTGTGCTTTGTTTATAAATATTTTGTTATGTTCTACTTATTCAAGCTTTTCTGGATCCTTTCACTCTCTTAATCTTGTTTATTTTGATTTGTTAAAGCTTTCTGCGGCGGAGAGGGTGTTAAGTCGAGCGACTTTATGCTCTAGTCCGATATCTTTTCTTTTTT